TTTACCCGCTGCAAGAAAGGTAATTGGAATGACATCACACAACTCCATCAATGCGTGTAATCAATGCACGCACTTGTTCAAGTCAATTCCTGGACATCCTCACCAGAGAAATTTTGCTGCTGCCCCCAGAGATGGTACTTTGGTTATTCGTGATGCTGGTAGTCATCGTGTAAATGCCGAGATTTGGAAAAATACTCCAACGGCTAGTGGTCGCACCGAGTTGGAGCAAAAAAATGGTGTCAGATACAGTGAGTTGCTTCGCCTGTCGTACTTTGATCCCATTGAATTTGTTGTGTTCGATATCTGCCACAACACTTTCATGGGTACGGCTAAACGAATGATGCGTGTGATCTGGAGAGAAGAGATCAACATTGTCAATGATAGAACGGAGCCATTGATCACCAAGGCACATTTGAAAGAAATGTCAAAAGCCTGTTTGGAGAAACTTGTGTTGCCTTTTGGCTATGACGGCCAATCACTTTGTAGAAAGATGAAGATCGGTGAAGTTGGCTTTGGGCATGTAAAAAGCGATGAGTTTAAAGCTTGGGTTTTGGCCATGTCTCCGTATTTGCTGTCAATGAGACTACCTAAACAGTATTATGACAACTGGATGGATTTCGTTGCTGCCAATGTGTACCTGTCGAGTCCGATGATTTCTTTGGAGGAGGTTGAGAAGATGCATGTACATATGATGAAATTTTTGGATGATTTTGTCAAAACGTACAATGATCCAACCTTGTTTGTTTCAAACATGCACTACCATTCGCATCTGAAGATGGTGCTCAAGAAATGGGGTCCAGGTCCTTCCTCGTGGATCTTTAACTTTGAACGGTATAACTGTGATGTCAAGTCGTTCAAGACTAATAGAAAAGGACCGGTCGAGAAGACGTATATGAAGAAGTTTCTTCACGCTATTCATTCTGAAGATTACTTTAGAGGTTTGAACTCTTCTTTTGTGTTGGGACCTCGACACAATGCACAGGTGACAAGATTGTTTGCTGGTGGTAATATCCATGGGTACGACAAGGTAAACGATGAGCTTGAGGGGGAATATCAAAATCCAAGGTTGATTTTTCTCTTTCTCAATTCTTGGAAATTAACCACGGGCATAAACTGGCGTATGGCTATGAGGAGATGCCACAAAGCGTTTTTTCAAAGATGAAGATCAAGTGTACGACCGAATATGGACTCTGTGATGTTTGGTCATCTGTTGAGCTACTACGTGGATCTGTATCATGTGTGGTTTGATCCCTTGGCTGCCCACAGTAGAATCAACAAGTTTGTCACCTTGGATTTGTTTGGGGCTGTGTTCAAGTCAATGGAATCAGCTTGTGCCAATGCACGTGGATCTTACATCCGTGCATTTTATCGTCTGACAGATCACGAGGATATAGTCAGGGAAGAGGAGACTAGTGGTGAGCGTACGGCACGCCACTATAAGTCTATTTCAGATTCTGGCGTGCTCAGACCTGCTCAAGTGGTCATGTTCTTTCGCCATTCCGTAGATGTAATGCAGAGTACTAGGAAAATAGCCAGTGGAACACACACTTTTGCCTTTGTTAGGTACAGTATAAACGTGAAACCATTTATTCTTCACGCGTCTAACTTTTTTTTTAAGGTGGTTCAAGGAATCAGCGGTGCAGTTGGGTTCTTATAACCATCACAACATGCATGTTGTTGCCAATGAGTTTGAAGAGATGTCACGCATGTCCATATTGCCTGTTCATCTTATTCATTCACCCATTGTAGTCAAGATTAGTCACCTCGACAACATCAATGTAGTAACGAACATGGCTCAGAGGTTATTTTTTTAAATGGTAAAACGTTCTTTTTTTTTTCTCTCAGTATTATCTGGTTTTTTTTTATGGTTTTTAGGATCTATTTTTATTCAGATGAAATGGCCCATCTGGGCAAGCGTGCACGCTGTTCTGTAGTCAAGGGAGACTCGACCACTCTTGAGGTACGAGGTAATGAAATACCTCGAGATGGACCGGCAGGAGCATCCAAAAAGGCATAAACCTGTTCCAACTATTAGAATAAATGTTGTAAGTAAATTAGCATTGGCTTTGATGTTTAATTTATTAACTTGCCTTGGTAGATCTCCAAGAGGGACAGAGCTTCACCAACGACGTGGCCAATCCGTGCGCATTAACGGCGTCGTTTTCCTCCTCTGACATATATTCCGGCTGCACCACAGCGTGACAATCGCCAGACGAGATATGGAGGCGGTCCTCAATCAAATGTTGAAAACGTTCAAAGTGTCTTAAACGTCTTCTCATTTTCTAAATCGAAGGTACAGTTTAATATATTGTGTGTTTTTGATTCTTATACTATACTTACGGTGGCCATTCTTGACCCCATGTTAGAAACAACAGCAGATTGTTGTACTTCTGCTGCTGTTTGAGTCTCATTGCGACGGACTCGTCTTCTCACATTCTCCTGGTGCGTTCTGATACGCCTGGCCAGAACAGAGGCTTGATTCTCTCCAAGCTGGTGAGTATCCGGAAGACCATACGTGCGGATTTCTTCCAGACGAAATTGGTTCAAGATATGGTTGTAAATCTCGATATTTGTTCCCTCCAACAAAGTTGAATTAACATCCCAAGCAGGAAGATTTAATTCCCTACATGCACGCCTGTAGAAAGCACGAATCAGGGCCTACAGATGGTAATATTAAAATGATGTACTGATATTTTTTTAATAGATAGATAGGTATAATTCTTACACTCTGTTGAGGATCAGTTCCTATTCTTTCACCACCAACACGTCGATTTCCTCGTTCATATGCATCCATACGACTCTCGAGCGCAGCAATGCGTTGGTTATCACCAGTACGTCTTCTAGGAGGGGCAACAAAGGCGGGTGCTGCAGGTTGAGCGGATTGCACCACGGGGGTACCGTTTGCGCTGTAAGTAATGTTATTTGTTGTGTTACTTGCCATATTATTTTGTAAAGAAGCGTAAAGAACAATATTATTACTGTTTGGATCTACGCTTATAATTAGACCCTTTTTTGCACACAATAAACTTGTCACAGTAAAAAAAAAAATTAATCCTTTCATCTTTCTTTTTTTTTATTCCATCTCTTTCTTTCACTTTCTTTTTCTTTTCCTTTTTTTGAAAAAAAAAAAAAAAAAAAAAGTTTTTTTCTGTAAGTACTATTCTTTTATTTTATAAGAGTTAACATGTCAGCTAACATTACTCTTGTATAGTGTTCAATTAAAAGAGGTAACCAGCCCAGGCCTACATATGTCCCTATTGTAAGAACTTTAAAAATGCCACGCCTCTCATTCGAAACTAATCGTCCTCCTGCCTTTTTTTTTTCTATGACAGGTCTTGTTTCCTCTACATTGGCATAACGCATTGTCTCCTTTCTCTTGGCCTTAATCCCCTTCGTTGGCTCTCTCTTAACAAAATAACAGGCTTTCTTTTTGGGCCATCACTCGGGCATCTTTTTTTTTTTTTAAAAAAAAAATGGTAAGATAAGCACTCCTTCTGAAACGTGTCGAAGACTGACAATCATCTTTCATAGATGCCTACAAGACTCTGGTTATTACTGGCTTTTTGGCACGGCTGGCTTACGTATGGTTGCCTAATGAACCACGACAATAAGAGGTAACGTCAACATGAGAATGGGTAAAAATCAAAACCTAATTATGAACACAGGTTTCAGGCTGCCAAGACTTTATCTAAATGATTCCAACAATGCTCTTCCTTTTGCAACTTGATATCGGTAAATTATATATACCATGCTTTTTGACTATCATATTAATTGTTTGTTATTAGATTCCTACTTTTTACTGGTGCCATCTTAATCTTCGCCTACTTAATGACCGTAAAACTGCTTCTTATGACTCCTTTTTGACTTTCTTCAGGGTAAGATTTACACCATACTGTCTCGCTCAGCTAACTTATTGTCTTAAAAATAGATTTCCAAGCTATTCCCCAACTTCAAGCCCCCTTTTGCATTCTGCTCAAATATCATCGTTGTCAAAAACTATATACGCACTGGCTGACAAGAATAGTAAACATACGCTCGCCTTAGGACTCCTCGTTTTTCAGTCGTCTTGCTGATTCTCTGTCTCGCTGTCTCACTGTCTCGCTGTCTCACTGTCTCACCGCGCCAATAGCTCTCTTTAGTAAACATAACTACGAAACGCTGCTTTCTACTTGTTTATTGTATTTGACGTGAACCCCATGGTTATAAAACGATATACTCTTTTACCTCCCCTGATGACTATAGGACCCCAAACAAGTACACGGTAAGGTAAGTTTTATAATTTGGAATGTGTAAATAGATCTAGTGTGTATACGTGTTTTTTTTACAAAATAAAAATTTTTTCATCCCATAAATCCTATTATTAAGCCCATTTGAATACATCTTTTTCTATAATTTAATCCAATGATCGTAAAGCATATCTGAATAGATGCTATAATTAATCCAGTAATAAAAAGGAATTCATCATCATCTTGATTATTGAAGCCAATGATGTACGATCATATATAAGATATGACGAATATCAAGCCAGTAATACCAAAGCTATATTATGAATCATCAAAGAAGCAGCCAGTATCATGTCCCCATCTATAAAATTTAGTCCAATGAAACCATGCTATATATCCAGGTATTAAGATAATTAATCCATAAGGACGGTACAGTCTTTAAGATAATTAATGCTAAAGGATGGTACAGGTATTACCATAATTAATGCAAAAGGATGGTACAGTCTTTAAGGTAATTAATGCAAAAGGATGGTACAGGTATTACCATAATTAACCAGTCATAACCGGAGTTCCAGGTATTTGTATATTTAACGGAGTCCGGGTATGACCCATCAATTTGAATATTTAACCAGTCATAACTGGTCATAACTGTATGTAAAAAAGTACGAGTGGTACTATATATAGCAGGAAGATACTACTATGAGTACAGTCGTATTTTAAGTAAGACGAAAGATGATTTTATTTATTTATGCGCATTTGGTATTTATACTGTACTATTTAATAGGGCCGAGCCGGACCAAGGACGAGATTCAATAGCCGCTGTCTTTTATAACGCGCTGGCGTTACTGGCTTAAATCTAGGACGCGTCTGTAGCTTACGCGGTATATTTGCTATGACCTGTGGATCTTCAGGACCGACAAAATTCAATATTGTAAACATAATTGTACGGGGACATTATTGAAATTGACCATTTTCGTAAGCGTGGTGATTCTCTGTCATACTTCAACAGTTATTACTTGGAAGGTTAAAAACTTTAATGGTTGTTACACTTTTTTTAAGTCTTTCTTCAACGGTTGAGATGTTAAATCAGAACCAGCCCAGATTACTTACTTTGAGAATGGATTACGGGTCTAAATATTGATTCAAAAATAGTAAATTAGTTATATCTAATACACGCTAAAGTGAGACATCGATTTAATACGCCGAGAAACCCATAAGACACCAAGAAATTGTTTTGTTACCAACAAATCTAAAAGGAAAAGTATTTAAAGCCGATTACTGGCTCAATTCGTATTTCAGAATTTTAAATTTAAATGCATATGAAGCGCGTTAAAATCTGACATAGAATGCATATGCGGATGACCCCATAAATTGTTCCGTAAGTGATTTATTATTAACAAATCCAAAAAACAAAGTATTTAAAGCCAATTGCTTGCTCAATTCGTAAGTCAGATATTTAAAAATAACTGCATCCGAAGCGCGTTAAAATTTGACATAGACTGCATATGCGGATGACCACATAAACTGTTCCCTGAGTGTTTTATTAGCAACAAACAATAATACCAAACTTTAGGAGCTGATTACTCCATCATTTTTAAACACAGACACGTCAAATAAATTGCATTAAATGCGCGCTTCAATTACACGTCGAATACATCTACGGATAACCACGCACCGTGTTTAGCCGCTACAATATAATTTAATAACCGAATTTTAAAACTTTGACCAATAATTACTCCGTCAATTTTAATCTCAGACTCTCGAAAGTTGTTTTTTCGGACGCGCTCAAATTTTGGCGAATTTTCGAGTACCCGGATGTCTGTGTAACTATAACCAATCACTCAGAATTTAGTTCTCGACCTATATTTATTTACGGCCTCTGTCTTATGCGTCCTTTTTTTGCAATTTCTTTCCGCTTGGGACGAAATCGTTGTATTTTTCTTTTCTATAGTAAAGGGTAACGTAAAAAATGCTATTTAAACATTGGATACACTTTTTGGTATTTAAAACCGGCTTTAAGAATATTAAAGGGCTGTATGTCCAGTTTTTTTATATACTTGAGAAAGTGTTTTGTTTTTTATTGTGTCAATTCTTCTTCCGATTACTTCCTTTTTAATGTATGCAGTGTTTGTATGGCTTGTAAAAAGATTTTAATTATCCCACAGTTATTGCTGTGATTGTAATTTTCAAGGGTTGCCAAGTGTTGTGGTTTTTAATAATTTCATCAATGATTGTTCATTATTTGATTACTCTTTAGTATAAGTTACTCAAAGTTTCCCTAGCAAGTACTATGACCCCTCCAATTATTCTCCTAACTATTGCATTTGTCCCAAAAAATATACTTACCTAAATTCATATTGTTCTTTAGCAATTTTGGAATTGGTTTATCAGCAATGAATATAAGGTCTTCATGTCATAATTCGAAACGAACCAGTCTATGCTAAAATTATTTCTGATACTTGTTTAAACCTATAGTATAAAGAACAATTGTTCCGTAACTTTCGGATTTGTTTGCCAAAAATCGGATTATCTGGGCGTTTATTGTTCTACTTTCTTCGTAATTTCTAGTTGAACACCTTATATAATGCTAGAACTGTTATAACAATGCCAATTACTGTGTCAGTCCAAGTTTACTTATTTTTCAATAAGTATTTTTGGGTTTATGTACTTGGCTGTTTTGTATTTATTTTCAATTCTTTAAAGAGCAGATTGGGAGACGTACATTTAACTATCTGCATAATATTGATTGCTCCAAAAGTGTGTCAGATAATATTATTAAACGAAACTTTTATTTTTTTTTGTTTATTTCTTAAGGTACTTTCGTGAATATCACATCAATTCATCTTTAGTTGCTTTAATGGTCAATGCCAACAGTCTCTACCGTTTGCAAAAAGTATTTCAAGATTATTTTACTACTTTTCTTGTTCCAAACCGTTATGTTTCACGTGCTGTGGTGCTTTCAATAATGTTACCACTACTTTGTAAATACATGATCACCCTATATATATTTCGATTAGTATTTGGTATGTACAGCTTAAAGTATGTACTGTAATTTTTAATTAGTAAACATTCCATAACTTAGATGGCTGGGTACTTTGATTTTGTTGTCTGTCAATATAACAAATAGTCAAAACCAAAATGATCAATATATCGTTGGGATTAGATTTTAGAACAAAATGTCGCAGCTTAATGTTCGTGTACGTTTAAATTTACGTCATATTTTTTTTGAAAATTTGGCTTCGGTATAAGATGTTTTTTATTTGTTAAGATTTTTAACATTGTATATTTTGCAAACATTGATCCTTATTTCTTCAGGATCTGATTCATGAGCAAAATATCAGTCTAATGTTGTTCAGCGCGTTCATTTACGTTCAAAAATCTGTAATTCCAGCTTTACTACGGCCATTTTTGTATTTGTAACAATTTGTAACATTATATCTTTAGCAAAGATTGACCAGTATCCGGTGGCATTTGCTTTTAGAGCAAAATATCTCAGTTTAAAGTTTTTCAGCTTAGAAATGTACTTCATACTATGTAAAAAAACGCCTTGAGTATAAGCGTTTTTGGTTTTATATTATTTTGTTACATTGTATATATGTCGTCTGGATCAGACTCCAAACGAAAATTCCGGGCCTAATATTGTACTCCGTGTTAAGTTACATCGTCATATTGAAAATATGCTATTTTGAAACACGTCGTTAAGAATGTTACAAATATATTACTGAGGGATTTATTCCTGGGGAACTGTAGTAAGTTTTAAGAAAAATTATTGTGGATTTGGAGACTGATTGGGATAGTCCTACCCTTTGCGAAGTCAACATCGATGCTTTCATTTCGTACCCATTGAAGGAGCTGAAAATCATGCCAAAAACTCGTTTGAAACTGTCCTTAAGCCCAAATTGGAAGCAATCATTGACTCGTCTGGACTTGGGTTACTTCACGTTTTGTGGTTAGAGGGACTCTGTCAAGAATTACCCACACACTTTGCTTTTGGACGCCTTTTCGGAAGCATACATGCACATTCATGTCGTCTTCCCCAACATGAAGAAAATGAAGCTTGGTGTAAGCAATTCCAGAAGAATGTTGGGTACCGCCGCTCAAAAAACGTTTACCGACCGACTTCTGATTCCGGCTATTCGACGTGTCTTGATTTGTTCTCGTGCAAATCGATCTGGTGGATCTTATGGCGAAGCCATTGGTACTGGATTTTTCATGACGGTGCCCAAAGTTTTGCTTGGTTCGGAGCTTAAGCTCTTAGTAAAGTCTATGCGTGACAGTGCGAAGGAGAGTGCGGATTTGGCCCCATATCGTCATTTTGTTTTTGTGGTTTCTTCTTTCGGGTTTAAAAGCCCAATGTATGGTCCGGATTACACGTCCATTCTTAATACCCTGGCCGACTGGTCCTAACTTGACCCTCAAAGATGCCTTATCGACATTGGCTTGAATCTGTTTGACCAATCCGAGGATGGCCGACCATTAGGGGGTGCCAAACATTAAAAAAATCATTTCCTTAATTTTTAAAAAACATTCCAGGGAATTTTTCCCCAGCCGAATTCCCTAAACTTTACGGGAACGATTTTTTGTGCCCGAGATTTTGCGGGCAAGAAAAAGTAATCCTGAGAAATCTCGGGAAAGAATACTCATTTTCTATTCGTTGTTGAGAAGGAAATATGACGTGAAAATGTAATATTTTATTTATTTTATGATAATCTAAAAGCATCATATCGCATCTGTGTTTGCATTATAAAGTTTTTCTAAATTTTTAACTTACATTTTTTCTCCTTAAATTTCTCTAAAACGTATAATCTAAATAGTCTGATCAAATAAACAGAAACACTGGTGGCGGTCCTTCCAACAACGATTCCGCAGATAAAAGCCTTGATGGAACCAAAACTACACCTGGTCAAATTAAGGCTATGATTGGTTTCTTTGAAAGTAATCAAGACCTTTTTAAGATATATCTTGGTGGACAAAAGTCGTCCGCTCCTTCAGTGTCACGAATTAGCCGGATGTTACTAGGTACGAGGACAGGTCTCTTTATACTTACAAGGCAAGGTTAGGTACTAGGTAGGACTATATTGTTTTGCGGGAAGACAGACAAGAAAAGGTAGTAAAGCTAAGTTTATATAATAATAATAACTTATACAAGATATCAGATTAAGATCTGTACTTGTCTAAATAATCTAAGTGAAAAATCCAAAAATCCAAAATAGAAAATAAGACAAAGTATTAACCAGATTGCAAAAAGGAACTAAAATTTTATTGAACATAAAAATAATGATTTCTTTTATACATAATGAATACAACTAAAACTACAAGCGGGACCCTGCCATCGTGGGTAGATTATATCCAAATATTGTTCAAGCTGTCAATAAACCCGCAAGGAGCAGTAAGGAGAATATAATAAACAACCCGTACTTGAATAGGCATTTGGTGTTACGTGAACTCTGAAATTACCAGCTGACATATGATAAATATGACAGCAGTGAGAATACTTCAATCGTCGTAGCACAAGCATATTACCTTAGCTAAGGTGTATTTACAGCTCGCATACAACACTAAGGTATTTATAATAAAAGGAAGATAGTCTTAAGTGTGCCAAACCACATAGCGTATACGTAATAAAAGTAGATGTAATTTACATAAATAGAAATAGTCTGTATCACAGATCTATCGGTAAATAAAGTAACAAGATCCAGTGATATTGAAAGGATCTGAATATACTCATTCCGACATAAGAACACAAACTTGACTTGTGTATTCGACAGTGAAAGAAGAAATTTATTGATGACTAATTACTGTCAAATATGAAATTAGTTTCCAGCTGTCATTTAGTATAAATAGACCCCAAATTAGTATCTTAACATCTTGGTCAATAAATTTATAAAGGAATTCTAAACGTACTTATGTACTTTGTTTTATTTTTTATTTTATTTTTTATTTTATTAAATCACACTACCGATTTATTACATTAAGGACTATCTTCTTAACGTGAAGGGTCTGGAGTTAAGGCCTTGGGGAAGGTCTTGAGGCGAGGTACTGTGGCGGGATCATGGGATGAGGGTGGTGGCGGATGTTGGTTTGGTCTTGAGGCGTGGTCCTATGGTGATGACTCGTGATCGGTCTCATGGTGGTGTCTGATGGTTTGGTCACAGGAGCTGTCAAATATGATCTGCATATACATGCAGATCTATGCGGGGGTGTATGTATACGCGTATGCATTAAGGTATTGACCACGTGGTTCATGACAACAGAAGTTCTTGAATCAACTCAGACAAATTTCAGAGGAAATTTAAAAATTCAGTTCAGTGTTTGTTTCAGTTAATTTTCAGTGTGTTTTCAATGCATTAATGGCAACACATTTAATTCACTGAAATCCAAGTAAAAATTCAGTTCGGCTTCAGTGGCTTTTCAATGTATTAATATTGATCCACATATTTAACACATAAAAAACTTAACCAGCAATCCTATAGCTTTTAAGCTACCTTTTAGCAAACTCATTCAACAATTTGTGTCTCCCCAGTTACTGCTAATTTCATTAATAAAAATTCGTTATGTCGTCATCTTGAAAGCAATCATATTCTCCTATTTCAAAATCCACTCTTTTAATTTCAGGCCAGAAAAAATAGACGTCATTTTCATTTTCTTTCGGATTTAAAACAATGGCGGCAACAGTGAAATCAAGGCTGTCAATTTTAACAAGTTTCAATATTGAACAAGAATTAATCTTATCTTGGTTTCCTCTCTCTGTTATGTCCCCAAATTATATTCCACCTCTATTAATATGTATATTTTGATTAATGTGCACTAATGCTAGTTGCTGTTTAGACTGAAATTGATAGTGTTCAAATATCAACAGAATCTTTCCTATAACCTGATTGGAACCTTCTCCCAGATTTATCAATGCAAACTGGTTCATTCTCCTTTTCTTATGTGATACAAGTAAACTACTGTCAAACAAACGTTTTTTGCCGAATCTATTTTTTTTGCGCAATGGATGTTCTCAGTGACGCTTGTCTCAGGGATATCCCACCAACTTGACAGAAGTACTCGTAATCTGTAATTGTTATATTGATTGATATAAAATAAGAATCGAGTCGGTAGTTAAACGGAAGCCTAGTGATTGGCTGTAAAGATTATGTAGTATTTAAATAAAGATGTTATTTAAATGGAATAACCTAGTTAACTAAGACTTATGATTAAGAAGATAAAAGATAATGTTTATTGAATAGAATTGGAGAGGATATTTATATGTTATGGATCATAACCGCAGTTACTGCGGTTATGCTGCGGTAGAAGAGATATTGACTGCGGAAGAAGTTACAATCGCCGATTACTGAATTGATGACATAACGGCTTCACGACAGATACTTGTGACATACTTGAAACTGTTGACAACAGACTGTTCTGGCACATAGTTCGCGCTGTTAATGCCTCGAATTTGATAATAGTCATACAATTCATTGATCAAGATGTTGACTGCGTTTTTTTCTGCTCTCGATGTCGAGTTTATTCTAGATTTAAACCTATGTATTCTTTGCTCCATGCTTCGACAACTGATCTTTTTCAACGAGCCCATGTCTCTGATTACGTCAGTAACGTGTAAAAGATAATGCTGATTGATATTATACTTTTCTTCCGGTAAGTATTTGACAAAAAAATTATGCCATAATGGAATAAGCTTGTCTAATTCTTGAAGTTCGGCATTAGATATGTCGTACTGAGTGGCAATTGAGCATCACACCAAACGAGATTTAGTGTCAATCTTAATTCTAATATGGATGAGCGGGGAGGAATTTTTTTGCCTTTTGTAGAATGAATATTACACAGCATTTGGGGGGTCGAGAGGGAAATTTTTACCATATTGGGTCTAGTGATATGCGGTCGGAATAACCTGATCCGTCAAAAACAGGCCACAAATATGGTCTGGAATATCGATAAAAAAATGGGCTGAAAAAAAACGAAAAAAAACGGAAAAATATGCCTAAAAAATAGGCATAAAAAATAGACAAAAAACGGCTGAAAACGATTGGAATTATGGGTATAAATTTGATTTTATTGTTTAAAAATTGTAGGTTTTAAATTATATTTGTATATGCTAGAT